ATTAAATAGGTTAGCTTTACTGTCTGGTGCGGCGACCAGATTTCCCAGAGTGTTCTGCAGAGGCCCCACGTTACCCAGTATCTTCTTTTTACCTCCTATGTATTTAAAAAAGGATTTCTTGTCCTTGATCCAGGTAGCTAGTCCCAGTTCCATCTCCACCTTGGCCTTCCTGACCACCCCCCTCAGCCTTGAGCAACAGAGGTATAGGCCTCCCTGGAGACGTTCCTGTATGCTTTTAGTGAGCCATGGGGGCTTTTGCGCCCTCTTGCCCCCTTTGATCCATGTTGGGATTACCTCCCTTTGGGCTTGGAGGATCATCTCCTTAAGGAACGACCACTCTTCTTGGATACCTGACACCTCTGCCCTCTGGGACCTCAGTGCTTCCCTGACCATTCTCCTTACCTCATTGAAATCCTCCCTCCTGAAGTCCAGGGCTGCTGCCTTGCTGCAGGCCTTTGCCACCTTGTGCTGGATGGTGGATCCTCCCCTCTACCTAAAGAAGGACTTCTTGCTGTCCATTATTTCTATTGCTAATTAATTAAAAAGTGAGTCTGCATGAGCAAATATTTTGTGGCTTCTTGTTTCACACATTCAGATGGACGTCTGCAATTGCGATCTGTTTTATGAACAACTTGTGTGTTGCATTAACCAGATTTTCAGATGGTTTACATTCAAGATTGTGCTCACTCACTGTGATCCTGAACCCAAAACAGGTAAACCCACATATAAACAACTACCTAGGCAATGCCTATGTGGCAGTCCTTCATTTCAGTCCATTCTCTTTAAACTTCCCTACTGGCTCTCAGGTAGGTGACAACATTAATTCAGTTTTTTTATTCTCCCCTTCGAGGCCCAGCACAAGTTTGCTGGCCCAAATCTCTAGTCTGCTAATGATGTCTTCAGGCTACTAATTGTGCCAGCTCCTGCGTCCTGGTAGTTTTCCACTCCTGTGCTGCTTCACATGCTATTCTGTATGCATTTTCTTCATCCTGAATTGCCAAGGCCTCACTCTCACTGCTTTAAATCCATCCTTTAAAATAAACTTTCCTGTAATGCCAATAAGAAATGAATCAAACTAAATGTCAGAAAAAGAAATGAGCATGCTGTTCCTTCTCCTGGCTTCCTGTGTCCCCCATCATCTGTACTGCCAGGCCCAAGACCGCAAAACACACGAGTTAAGGGTCCCAAATTACTGTCTTATTAAATAATATTATATTTCCTTTTGGTATTTGAGCCTTTATGATTTTCAAAGCTGTGAGAGCTAGAAATGTATCTAGAAAGAACCCAAAGCTAAAATGTCCATGCTGCAACCAGACCTTTTAAGAAATGTGCCAATTATTGAATATGCCATAAGATCATAACACTTGGCAGCAATGTAAGCTCTCCAGGCTTTGCAAAGTTATGTGACAGTAACAAAAAACCTAGAAAGAATCATTTTCTTCTAACACTCAACAAAGTCACTTTTCCGGGTGTCTGCCTAGACTAGGGCTGTCCAACTTCTAAGCCCCTGGAGGCCACATCAGCAGGGACTGCATCAGATGAGCCACAGGCCACCAGGTTGTACAGACACTCCCTCCCACCCTCCACTGCACCACACACCCACGTGGGTGTCCCCACCCCGGACTGCAAGGCATTGGCACTCTGAACCATGGCTGTCCAACATGGACATAAAAGCATGATTTTCGCCCCCTTTTTGCTGCAATGTGCCCCCTTGCAGGCACCCTCTTCCCACTGCTGAACAAGGTGCCCTCCCCACCGTTACACCACACAGTTGTGATCCTCTCCGCTCAGCCCTGTTCCTTCCCCTGCATGTGGCCCTGTACTCACCCTCATGCATAAGAAGACCTTGTTATGTTCAAAACTTAATTCTAAACTCATGTATTTGATTTGAAATTCCATGGATCAGTTTTTCACACATACCAGACATGTACCAGACATACACATTATAAGTTAATCAATATTTCTTTTACAGAATGCAAGCTAAGAAAGGAAAAGATTATTACTGTTATTTCTGTTTTTAAATACTAGGGTACTGTCCAAATATATGCTATGTGAGCCTATTATTCACATTATTGTATGTTTTGATAAATGGAATAGTAGATTTGTTGGGAAAAGAAAAATTTAAAATACCAAAAAAGAAAAAAAGTAATTTCTGTTTTTCATCAAACTTACTTTTTTTTTTTTAAGAGCTTCCTGGCGTACAGTTAACTCAGCTGTAGACTCTTAGCTTTGCAAAAAAAAAAAAAAAGTCTACAAATAATCCCTCACAAATGGGTTCTCAGAGAGATCCCAGAGGTTTAACTCTGCAGTGCTCTCTCACTTGATATGTCACACAACAGCAAATGAGACATACCTAGACCATTTTAGCATGTTTTAGCTGACATGCAGTGAATTATCTGTGATAAAATCCTAGTGTGAACACAAGTTAGCAGGGAGATAAGCCTTTGTAGACATGATGTAAGGAGAAAGAATGTTTCTCACTCTTCTAAAACATTTTATAGCAGAAAGAGACTAAAAAGTGTTTTAGCTTTACAGAAGCATATAGATTTATATTCATTTAAAGGGCGGCTGGGTCTTGAAGGCCAGACCAGATGCTTCAGGGCCAGTTACTGTGCTCCATGTATCCAAAAGGAAGCGGATTGATTGAAAAATACTTGAAGCAAAGCAGTCCTTGGGACACAGGAAGATGGTTTTGGGGAACAGTGAGAGAAGGAACCTATTGGAAACCCTGCCTGTTGTTTCATTAACTGCCTGGAACAAGGAGACATGAAGAGTGGGTGGGAAGGGCTTCCCTTTCTCACCTCTGCCCCATGCAGGTGTTTGTGGTTATTTGACTCGCATGGGAAAGGAGCAATTAGAAGACAAAACAGGTGATTTAAAGCAAGGCTCTAAATTTAATTCAGAAAAGGCTTCCTGGGGCTTGGTGGAGGATCTGCTGGTGAGAAGAGGAAAGAGCTCTGGGGTGAGGCTGGAGTGAGGGTGGGATTGCAGTGGGAGAGAAGATGGGTTCTGAAACTGGAGAGAGAACTGAGCACTGCCTGATCAGTCAGATACAGAAGAGGGCTCTGGAATCATGGACTAAGGAGAACAAATCTGTTTATACTTTCACACAGATGCATAGGAAGCAGGCCTGAAGGACTAAAGGAAAATATATTTCTTCAAGAAACTAAAGAATGTAGGTAAAAGTAGAAGGAAAATGTTTTTGAACTGGGGGATGTAAGTGGATTGGTCCAGAAGCTGGGAGTGAGACTAGGGGAGGACCATTAAAGTCATGAGGGTACCCTATGGTAGTACCCATCTATGAACCACAATAGCAAGCTTTTTACATTTTTGTAAACAAAACAACCCCACCCACCCACCCAAAAAAACCCAAACAACCTCATGTACATCTCTCTCTCTTGTCACTTTATTATCTACTTTCCTTTTTGCAGGGTTTTACCTTCTTTTCCAAACTATCCTGAAATTTGGAAGTCTATAATTCTGTGCATTTTATAGATAAGGAAATTAAGGCATGAAGGCTCAGTCAAGATCATGCAGACCTGAATTTAGGTCTCCTGGTTTCCACCTAATATATCTACTAGACCTTGTTGTGTCTCTAACAATATATGCAAAACAATACTAGTTTTGTTCTTTTCCCCCATAGGATACAAATTTAGTGGAAATGAATAAAACTTATTTTTGTTTTATGACTTTTCCTGGTGTTTGTTGGATCAGAGTTCTGCTTGGTGGTCACCTGTATAATATTTCAGAATAGAAAGACAATCTTGTTCTTCATGTACCAGAGCCCTGGGATGCCAGTGATTCCTCATGAATGAAGAGCCTTCATATTCTGGCATGGAATCCCCATAGAGAAAGCTTAAACATCAGGGTAAGTCTATGCTATAGTGTACCTGAGTCTGGGCTTCAAGCCTGGACTGGCTAAGCATGCCAGTTGCATGTGCCAAGCTGCATCAGCACTGAAGTTGCAGCTATCCTGGTTTGCCACAAAGATGTCACGGTCCTGGGTATACCAGGGTTCTTGGTGCCTCACTAACCTGAGCTTTGCTAGGGACTGATTTACTGTCTGTTGTAAAAGATCTGGTGTGTCCTTTCTGATATCTGTATGGAAGTACTGGTCTTCTTTGCCTGTCTCAGTTAACTGGGACAACTCTGGCTCCTATCTGTTCCAGTTGGTACCAGTTTGTAGATTGTCACTGGTTATAAGTGAACAACTCTTGCTTGAGACTGCAGTGTTCCTGTAGCAAGAAGCAGATAGAGGGCATGGGAGATGATGGAGGGCACTTCAACAGCAGCTTCTGCTCTGCAGAAGGCAGCAGTTTCTCAGAGAGAATTTGCACCAAACTGTCTTCACTCTGCCCTGTCTGTGTCTGGTATGAAAGAATTTCTGTTTCACCTTTATTTCCCTAAGTGCAATTGTTGGCAGTGCTAGAGCTTTAGATTCAGTTTCCAGTCATCCAGCAGCCCCCTCTGTAGAAGAGGGCCCACAAGTTAGGTCTCCCACTCCCTGAGCAAGTGCCTTCACCATTAAGCTATTGGGATGAGGCTAAAAGGGTGGGAGAGTCATCCTCCATTTTACTTCCAGCAGGCACATGTGGAAATAAGTGGTCTTATTCTGTCACAGGTTTAAATTGAATATAAAAACAGCATCAGTACCAAAAACTATATTTTTGTGGCTATGTAAATGCTGTCAGGCACACAAATATGAAATAGAGTTTGACCCTACTTGTTTTCAGACTTGGTACAGGCAACTAAAAATGCACCTTTCACCACTGAAGCTGTGTCTAGGTGAGTAGCAGAAGGCACAGCTTGCATGATCGTGTTCATGTATTGTATTGTTGGGAAATGTTCTAGTGTACGTCAGTTGATTTATCATTTTTATCTGATTGGTACTTTAATAAAATTTGGATACAGCTTCTTGACCCTACCTTACTCCTTTCCCAATGTAGTGTTTACCAAACCAACTTGTTAACGAAAGAAAGTATTTATTTAAAAGGGTTTTGAATGATTGCAGACTTCACCACAGATTTGTGAATGGGCAAAGGAAGTATGGCTGTGGCAAAATTGTGTTAGTAAGTAAAAGTCTGTTGGCCTTCGGAACTGGATATCAGAAATGTACTAGTTCTCCTTAGTCTGGATTGTATTGGGGTGGATTGAATAGGGAATGTTTTTCTGTTCTGGTTCATGGAGTAGTACATAGCCTTCCCAGTCATTCAGAAGATGAGCTAGCTATATTAGCTGCAGATTGTGGTGATATGAAGGAGAAGCCATGAGCACTAAGAGAAGTCTGGACCCAAGTCAGATAAACATGCCATATTCTTCTTGCAGCAGGTCATCTGCAAGCATTTTCTTTTTATCTTGATGCTTTAGGGTCCTGTCTTTAGAGTCCTATATCAGTGTCTGCTTGAAACTTGATTCTCCGTCTCCACTAACCTCTCCCAGATATTTTTATAATGGGATAATTCTTGGATGCTTCTCCCAAAACTGTCTTGCTGGGATGGCTTCTCTTAGGGCTGTTTAGCTGAGATGAGCTGAATGACACAGAAGTTGAGTGTACTATCATATGAAGAGTTAAATCCAGTTGCCTGTGTAGACAAAGTTCTTTGGGTGAATCTGATGTCTTTTATTAGTTGGAAAACAATTATTAAGCAAGCTGTTGCCTGTGTATGCATTAGTTGAGGGACAAAGATTTTATCCATTAATTGGTGGCTTCTGGCATACAAGAGGTGGGTGTGAAGTAAGGAGGTGGCACTGTACCATAAAACCTCAGGGAATGAGAGGACTATAAAAGCCTAAGTTCTGGTACCTTGGTTTTTAGTCTCATTCTCCTCACAAAATGGGCAGGAAATAGGCTTTGAAACAAAACTTGAGCTATAACCCATCTCCCCAGCTAGGCATGGAAGCCCAGGTTCAAAGCACGTATAAGGCATAATGGTCTCCTTTTTTATTTATTTATTTTTGTAGATGTTAAAGGAGCTGTGATTTAAAATCCAGTAATAACCTGGGGTAAGCCTGTGTACCCTTATTAAAGATCACCCAAATTTGCCAAAGGACTATGATAATCTTTATGTGGCTGTATTTTTGCATGACCTAATGTTGATTACTACATGGCCAGTGTTACAGCCGTGGATTCATCAGAACCTATAACTTGTTGTTAAGTGTTTAATTCTTATGGAAGAAAACACACACACACACACACACACACACACACACACACAGAGGAAATGGAGGGAAGATAAGTGCTATGTGGGTGCAACTGTATCTACCTTATGAGGTTGAATATGAGCCAACAGTGTACTCTTGCTGCAAAGAAGGCTAGCGGCATACTGGGCTGCATTAATAGGACTGTTGCCAGTAGATCGAGGGGAAGTGGTTCTTCCCCTCTCTTCAGCACTGGTGAGGCCACATCTGGAGTACCGTGTCCAGTTTTGGGTCCCCCACTACAGGAAGGATATGGACAAACTGGAGAGACTCTAGTGGAGGGCAATAAAAATGGTTAGAAGCTATGTGCCCCAGCCCCCTGAGGAGAAACTGAAGGAACTGGGTGTATTTACTTTGGAGCAGAGAAGACTAAGAAGGGATTTAATAGCAGCCTTCAACTACCTGAAGGGTGGTTCCAAAAAGGATGGTGCTAGACTGGGGTGGACAAAGTATGGCCCATGGGGTAGATCCAGTCCACCAACTGACTGTATCAGTGCTCTGCATGGGGTCGAGTTTCACCTGCTCCTGCCGACCCAGGTCCCAGCCAGTGTGTAGCTTCTGGCAGGGCTGTTCCCAGTGAGGCTGCAGCCAGCTAGGGGCTGCTCTGCTCTCGCCTCCAGTGGGAGCTGCTGGGCTAAAGCTTCCTCCTGCCCACCTCCAGCAGTGCAGCAGGGGCAGGAGTGGGAGGAGGAACTATTGCTGCTGGTGAGGGGAGCAGAGCAGCATCTGGTCAGCAGCACTGGGAACAGACCTGTCAGAAGCTGCATATGATAGCCAGGGCACAGGCCACTGGTGCTATTTTGTTCCCTTTGCCTTTAGCTGTAGCTCCTGCTTTTGCTCCTGCTGTGCTGCTCTGGGTGAGAGGGAGCTTCACCCAGGCAGCTCCTGCCCCAGCACACAGGGATTTGGCTCCGGCTCCCAGCTGCCTTCTACCTGCTCTGCCCACCTGCAGGTGGCTACTCATTGAGCTGGGTGGGGGGAATGGTGGAAGGCTTGCTCTGCCCACCTGCAGGTGGCTACTCATTGCGCTGGGTGGGTGGAATGGTGGAAGGCAGCTAGGAGCTGCAGCCCCATGTGCTGGGGCAGAAGCCACTTGGCTGAAGTTCCCGCCCCTCTTGCGCTGCCCAGGAAAAGGTGAACAAGAGCAGGAGTGAGGTGGGGGGGAGCAAAATGGCCCACCAGCCTGGGCTCTGGCCAGTGCACACTGCTTCTGGCAGGGTGCTGCTGCTGGCTGGGTGCTGTTCTGCTCCCCTCATCTCCAGCAGTAGCTCCTCCTCCCTCTTGTGCCCCTGCTGCACCACTCTGGGCAGCCAGGCAGGGGGAAGCTTCAGCTGGGTGGTTCCCACTGGAGGTGAGGGGTGCAGTGTGTCATGACCCAAAGGCATGATTTTGTGTGTGCTTCGGCACCAGAATTATCCCCGCCAGGTTATAGCTTCATTGCACGGGAGAGTTTCCTATTGCAGAGGAGAACCCCGGTGCAAGGATGAGTTTCCCGCCTCTTTGCAGCTTCTTTTACAGAGTGCATTGCTCAAGTTGCAAGAGAAATGCACGGTGCAAAAGAGTTCCCGCCACCAGTATGCAAATTTGTTCCCCGCTATTGGTTAGTTCTAAATTATTCCCACGTGGCGGCTAACGATTGGCCTGTTAGCCGTATAAGAGGCTTGAGCAGTTTTTGCCCAAGCCGAAGAAGACTTCACATCTATCTCGTGGGGACTCTGGATACACGGCAGGGTAATAGAGACCCTGTGTGAGATTCAGAGGAGCTTGGCGACCTGATCCATCGCCCGCCTCTTCCCGTCTTCGAGCGCAAATTTTATCCGATTCCGATTTTGGTGGCGCGTTCACCCAGAGCATCCGGAGCTCTGCACCGTGGAGCCTAGCAACCTCCACGTGACCGTCCGTGTTGTCTGTGTCTGTAACCGCAACTCAAGCAAGTTTTCCAGCCTACACCACTGCCATCTCGGTGTAAGTAAACAATCTTTAAAACTACCGCTAAGCATTTGTGCCTAATTCCAGCTCGTCGCCCTCCCTCTCTGATCCAGCGTGCCCGGGCTGCTGGCCACAGCCCGCGTGCAGCGCGAAAAAGGGCTCGGGTCGCTCCCAGCCCGCACACAGAGCAGCACTTAGCTGGCTATGGCCACACCAGGAGCAGCCCTGCCAGAAGCTGTGCACTGGGGCTGGTGGGCATGCAGCACAGGCTGCCTGGGGTGGGGGCAGAGTACTGAGGGGGCAGCCGTGGATTGGGCGAGCACTGCTGCACGTGCCCACTGCCCCCTCCCTTTACTCATGCCTGGCTGGCTCCCAGGCAGCAACCCCCCCACCTCCACACACATGTGCAAGGAGCAGATCATTGCTGTTCTGCTCCCAAAAACTGCTCCCTGCCCATCCAAAACCCCATATAAGGAGTTTTGGTGAGTTGTTGCATGGGGGGAGGGAGAGGCAGTGCTGACCTGACCCATGACAGCCCATCAAAACTTATGTGACCCTTGGGTCTAAACAATTTGGCCACTAGGCCTGCGTGAAGCAGTTAGTATTTGCTTCAGATTCAGATTTGGCTGATTTTGGGGAGGGGGGGGGGGCGGGATAGTGATTCGAATTGCTGTCTTGAATCAGAATAGATTCAGATGAATCCAAGTGTCACAGGGCATTAAGGTGCCTGCTCCT